GGGGAAGCCGGGCCGGACAGTTCGCGGTCGGCTGCGGAGGGAAAGGGCTGCGGCCGGAACGGAGCTGCGGGACGCCGGGGACTCTTCCTGGTCCGCTTCTTCGTGGCCCCCGGCCGGGCGGGCGGAAGGAAGGGGGCTGGGCTGCTCGGGGTCGTAGCCCGCGGCGCCGACCCGCCTTTGCTTGTCCCTTGTGCAGGCGGAGCTGCGGGCAGAGGCTCCATGTTGGGAAGCGGCGCCGCTTGTCCTTGTTAGCGGGAATCGGGGCGCCGCGGGCAGAGCCGGCGGGGGCCCGGGCGCTGAGCGAAGATGGAGGCCCCGCTGCGGCCTGCCGCGGACATCCTGAGGCGGAACCCGCAGCATGACTTCGAGCTCGTCCAGAGGGTCGGCAGCGGCACCTACGGGGACGTCTACAAGGTGAGACGGCCCGGCCCCGAGCCCGGCTCTTTTCCCGCGGTCGCTGGCTCCCGGGAAGAGGGTTTTTTGGCGCTGTGTGAGGACTGGACAGGATGCTTTTATTGTTGCATCTTGGAGATGAAGCGGCTGGGGTCCCGTTTACTCGGTTCAGAGCACCCTATATGCTCATTGCTTGCTCAAATCGCTACCAATCAGCGGAATTAACCACACCTTTGCAAACCGCTGTTGTACTTTTTTGTGGTATAAAGGCATTTTAACGCTTATGTATGGTATTGAAGGGAGTTTGAATCTGCTAATAGAGTTGCATTTGAGGATGTTCTAGCCTTTGCATGGAAAAATGCTTCATGGAAGGCTGTAGGTAGGAAAGAATATTGGCATTCCGACATTTGCTCTTAAAAAACACACACTTTAAAACGGATGAGCTTAATTTAAAAAGTATGAAATGCTGTCTCTCAATTATAACTGTACACAGACCAATACTGAGTACAAAACGACATGAGCACAAACATTATCCTATGTAGAAAGATGCTTTTCCTGGCAGAAGTTTCATCATTTTTATCTGGTCGATGATTTTTCTCTCTCTATTTTCTGGGATTTATAACATCTCATGCTCAAGAGTGGATAAGAGCTGCAGTTTTTAATTGTGCTCTTTTCATTGTTTGAGACAAATGATGAGGGTGAGTTACTATTAATTTGGGATTTAAGAAAGCTTAGAGAAGCAAACCCAATTCCTTAAGTCGGCTGAGTTCTTCAAGGATCAGGAGGAAGGCGATTGTTTCTGATTGCCTCATGCTTTTTGTTCTCTGTTCCAAAAAGGGAGCATTAGTGCAACTCATGAGTATACTAAGGGAAATTTCTTTTGATTTTGCAACAACTTTGTTTATTGGATTTAATCATGATATGTATATCCCATTATTCCAAACAACACTCCTGCATGTACCTGAAAGGGCCTTATATGATTAATCAGTAGACTCCTTTGGAGTACGTTGTTTTGCACAGGTGGTGATCCAGAAGGAAAACCTTCTTTCTTCCTACTTTTCTGCTTTTGTTTAATATGCTCCCTATTAATACTAACAATTTAAGGTGGTGGTATGACAGCTCTAGCGCTGTTTAATTCTACTGGGATGGATTGTAAAGTGTAGGCTTTTTATTTCTTAAAAAGCCTGTTTTAGATATGGGGTGTTGAATTATGAGGTAGGTCCCAGCTCTTGCCTTTCATACCTTTGAATTCAAAGTGGATAATTATAACAGAATCCTCTTTTGCTTTATGTAGAATTAGTAGTAATTAATTCAGCTGTTTATCCATGGATTAGTCATTTTGTGGAATGCTCTTTAAAAAATTGCAATTTCTATTTGCCTTCTGAGCCTCACTCTTTAGTCATCTTTGTCTTATGATTCATTATGTATATAAATGTTTTCCCCACAAAAATCCAAAGACCTCTACTTTTTTTTCCTTATAAATCTAACAACTAAAGCATCTCTCTGGAGCGGGACTTGATTCTTGCCAGGGAAAGTAAAGGGTTATATTAAAGGGACAGCAAATGCTTGCCTTTCACCCAGGTACCCTATGTCTCTCTTCCACAGTTTCTAAACAGAGGATCAAAGACTGAATATTTATCCTTAACCACCTTTACTGCCACCCCTCCCCCACAATCTCCTTGCCTCACATTCATTCTGCCTTCCCTTTGCATGTATACTCATACACTAGGCCAGCCTCTGATTCCTAAACATTTTCAACTCTGGTTCCTTGTCTTTTGTTTTCCTTTGCTCTAATTACCTGGAATCACCTATCACCCTCATTTCAACCTGTTGCTGTTTTACCTGTCCAGGAAAGCCTAACTGAAAAGCTCTAGGAGCTTCAGCATCACTACCCCCACCCCTTCTTTCCAACCTCATCTACAGCTCTCCCCTTCCCTTTTTCCTTCATTCTCTTCTAGCCACATTGGCCTGCTTGCTCTTCCTTAAACATAATAAGCATTTTCCCCTCTTTGGGCCTTTGTTCTTGCTATTTCCTTTGCTCAGAATGTCTTTCCTCAAAGAGCCACATGGCTTGCTCCCTTCCCCACTAGCTTTTACACCTTCTCCATCTTTTTTTCCTACTTCATTTTTTCATTTGCACTTATCACCATTATGCATAATGTTTTACTTATTTTTTCTTGTTTATTATCTATATCAGTCCAGTACCATACTCTATGAGGGCAGGAGTTTTATCTGTTTTGTTCACTGCTCTATGTCTAACAGCACCTAGAATTATGAGTAGGAAGAGAGTAAAAATCTGTTGAAAGAATGAATGAATATCAGTAATTCTATCACCTAGTTCTGTGGGCATATGTTTTTGACGTAACAACAGTAAGTTAGCATTTAATTCTCTGTATTCCTGTGATGCCTATTGTGATGCCCTGTGTATGTACTTTAATTACAAATTTCAATTATTTGAGTTCTCTAGGAAAAATATTTCTGGAAAAGTATTTCATAGCATAGCTATTTTCAGCACTTGAATAAGTCCTACAGTTTATATTTACTCTTTAATATGCCTAAAAACATGTACCATTCAGCTGTGGTGCTGAAGTTTTTAAGCTCAGAGCAGTTTAGAGTAATTTTGCTCTTTATCACTGTGTTTCTAGTGAGCTGAAAACCGTAGGAAGTTTTATAAGTATTATAAGTGATATAAACTAGTAGTATAATTACAGTGAAGAATAATGAAGGTAAATTAGTCACTGTTCTAGTCAGATATTATCTCTACTTTTTTTTTTTTTTTTTTTTACATCTGAGATACCTTACAAAGCAGGAGCTTTAAAAGGGCTACAGTTTTGAGATTCTTTGTAAATTATTTTTATGTTCTTCAAAACCATAGATCCCCTCTGAAGCACCTATCTTTCCTGAGAATCCCCAAGATGGGAGAGCACAATCTTAAACTGGCTGTTCCATGGTTGAAAGAAGGGGAATATAAAGTTTCATTTAGATAGATGGAATAAATCATTGAGAACGAGAACAAGAAATGGTGGAAGGGAGAGAAACAGAAAAGAAATGTGGTTGAAGATGGATAAAAGATTAAATTTCAACTGAGCAAATTTTATTTCTAATTGCTGTTAATTTTTAAATCTAACAGGAAGAGGAAGTCTGGAGATTTAGTGTCTATTATCTTCTGCCTTCTGATCTAGGCAGTTACAGTATCGTGATATAGTTCATCATCACCGTAAAAGACATTTGGGTGGTTTTTATTGAAATATTTGTGTCAAAATTATTCCCATTCTAAATTCCAGAGAAGTTCTAGGAATCATTTTTACCTTATGTGATATAAATATCCCATCTATTTTTTTCCTAACCTATTTTGCTTTTTCTGATTGATTATGAAAGTATAATAATGTTTAGGTCCAGGAGGACAGGAACAGATATCCCTTGCTTATCACTGTACAGTAGAAGATAGGTAGATGTTCAGTAAGTATTTGTTGAACCGCCTGGCCAGTGTGGCTCAGTGGTTGAGCATTGACCCATGCACCAGGAGTTCGCCAGTTTGATTCCTGATCAGGGAACGTGCCCGGGGTTGCAGGCTTGTGCAGGAGGCAACCGATTGATGTTAATGTTTCTCTCTCATCGATGTTTCTCTTTCTCTCTCCCTCTCCAGTCAATAAAAACTTATTTAAAAAATATATTTGTCGAATGACATTAGGTATAGAAAATTACCCAGAGGTAAACAGTGTTAATGATTTAATATAGTTTATTTCAGGCTTTTTTCCTAAATGTTTTTAAACCATTATATTTCTAAAAATGGCTTTTATAAACTGGGATTATGATATACCTCTGTTTTCTAGTTGATTGGAACAAACAGCATTTCCCCTGGTTATTAAATATTCTTCAAAAATACCATTTTTAAAAGATCATTGAACAAGCCCTCATTTAGTTAGTCATTCTAAGTTTCATATATGTTGTTTCCAATTTAAACATTTTTTTGCAATTCTAAATAATGCTACAATTTGTATAGAAATCTTTGGCATGTAGTCTTATCACGTGGGTTCCTCTGGATGCTCGATAAACTGGAACCACTGTAGTGAATCCCTATTTTACATATCCCTTTCTCTTCCCCAAGGCAGAACTCACAATTGAATGGCTTTAGGCACTTCAGAGCATATTCCAAGATTCCATTCTATAAAGACAAAGCTTAATACATCACTCCACTTCTGTAAGCATTCATTTATTTAAAAAATATTTATTAAAAAAATAAAATTAAAAAAAGAAAAATATTTATTGTGTCAACTCTGGGTTAGGGTATGGGGATGCAAACATGAAAAAGTACACTGTCAACAAGGAATATGTAGTTTAGCCAGGAAAACAGACATGTAAACAGTCACAGTTTGGTAAGTGCCACAGTAGAAGAGAAGTAGAAGAAATGTCCAATTCTGTCTTTATTGGGGTATAGGAGAAGGGAGAAGAGGGGAGAGAACCGTGATGTGAACTAGAGAGGATTAACAGAGGAAGGGACATTAACTGAATGCAGGGTGATTTCCAGGTGGACAAGATGGGAAAGATGCTCCAGGCTGTGGGAATAGCGGCACACCTGGCAGCTTGAGAAACCATGGTGCATTTTGAGGGATCCGCATCTGCATTCCAAGTTCGGTGTGACCAAACCTGGCAGATTTCATAGATGGAGAGCACAGGCCCTTTTCTGGCAGAAAAGGACCAGATAAAGGACCTTGTGTGTCATGTCAGAATTTGGACTTCTTCCTGTAAACTGAAGAAACAATTTAGGAAAGAATCTTTCATGATGTAGAGCAGGGATGGGGAACCTTTATTCTGCCAAGGGCCATTTGGATATTTATAGCATCATTCGTGGGCCATACAAAATTATCAACTTAAAAATTAGCCTGCTATATTTGGTCAAACGTTTAAGTGAATTTATTAAATTTTGAGCCCCTCCTGCAGTTGCCTTGGTGGGGCCAGACCAAATGATTTCGAGAGCCTAATACAGCGGCTGGATGTTCCCTACCCCTGATGTAGAGAAT